AGCGAGGAGGTATAAAAGGGGATTATGGGATAGAAACTGGCATTTACATATTGACCCTAGGTTGTACATCCGAGGTTAATGGTTTTTCGAAAGCGGTGTTGTGTTGGAGTTGTGCACGAACGGGTAGACCACCCGCGGATACTTTTACCGGTAAGAAACTAGTAAAGGTTTTCCGGTTCTCGCCCGAACGCACCCTATGGGTACAGAAAGATTTCAAAGCATTTATTTCTGTTGTATTTCTACTAATCCAACAGCTCGTTGGTTGGGTTTGCATGCTGTGGGGCTTACCAAGGATAGTCCATGAAAGTTTGAAGACAGGGATCCTGCTGGCAAGGACAGAGGCTAAATTAATTTCCTTCTTTATAATAAAAGATGCTCTGAATTTTGCTAAAGTACTCATAAGCCAGTTGTGTACGTTGGGTATCTGAGAAGAAGAGTCCAGAATCTGAGCATATATATACTGTAGTGGGATTTGATCCTACATCGAAAATAAATTTCAAGACTGCAATTTGCACTGCTCCTGCCGTTTGCACTTGACCAGTCAATCCAGGTTAAGGCAGTAGAGAACCCTAGCACTAGAAATCCTATTGCTTATAGAATTGCTGATCATACAGTACAAACAGATACAAATTATTTTGTATGTTTATTTTTTTATTTTATTTATTTTTTAATTTATAAAGCACTATTTCAATATTATTTCACATCAATGTCACATCAAAACATTTCAATATAGACAAAGAAGTCCTATCAGGAAATATTAGAAGAATGACAACTGGAAAGAACATGAAGGTGGTTTTCTTTTAAGAGACAAAATAATTTAGCTCAGGTTCATCAAGGGATTTTAACAAGTCAACATGTTACTACTCTCATTCTTAGTTAAATTAAAGTTAATATATTTTAAGGTTTTTAAGTGAAAAGACATCAATCAACAAAAACATTCACCATTATTACATAGTTCAACGAAAAGCAATTCACTTTCAAAATCACCATCTGTTGTTAATCTTGCATGTTGGTGTCTGGACATCAACTTGTTATATGACCCAATTTTTATGTATAAACTTGTAATTTTTTATGACATAATCAATAATCAAGTTTTTCTGAGCAAATTTCATATTGACCAGTAAACCATACACAAGAGAACAATGTAGTGTTCCTTCTTTAATCAAAGATAGGCAACAGAGCAACTTGCATGTAATATAATGACAGAGCTACTGTATAGCAAATCTAGCACTACTGTTGGTATCAGTATTTTATTTTTATAAACTACTTTCATCAATTTCTTGTCATAACAACACAGTATGTCTGATGATATTTTTTTGTTTTTAAAATATTGAACTGTTTTAGATAGATAGATGTTTTAGATATTTTTTTAGCAGTCCGTAAGTGTAGGTTCTTGGTTTATTCCTTTTTGTTTCTCTATGTTAAAGTTAATGAAATGGTTTAACCTGTAATAATGTTTAAAGCCATTTTTTAAAGCAGTTTGTCAATTTAGGTTTATTTCATTGGTTTATTTCATTTGCTTTCCTTTATATTCAATGGAAGTTCATAGTTCACCTTATTTGTCCATTCAGGAATTCCTATTGCCATGTAATTGCTCAAGGGCTAAAGAAAAAAGAAAAATTAGACATATCAAAAGTAAAGTATCATGCTATCTTAATCTACTATATGTTGAATCTAGATGAGTTCATAAGTCTACTTCATGATTTGAGTATTCTGGTGAAGTACGGAACCAAGTCAATCAACAAACATAACCATTTATTTCTCTTTCTGTTCATTTACAATCATTTTTTTTAAATTAGAGTAAGAGAGGCAAGTCTCCTAAAGCAAATACTTACATTGTCCAACTATCCTCTACTGGACCTTAACCATTGATAATTTATAAAGTCCATAATTATTATCTTTTATTAAGGCTACTACCTTGTCCTGAACTTTCTCATGCATATGATCAATATAATAATCTGTTTACTCCAGCCTTGTTAGCTAGACATTGTAGTACTTTTATTGAGGTCAGATTTTTAGTAGTTACTGTACAATTCGCACACATATAGACTCAAATGCTTTCCATTATTGACCTTGTAAGATTGTCACAATCATATAGTCAACATTGAATTGATTTAAATTTCTCAAAAAGAAATGTGATTAATAATTTTTTTGTTTTTTTTGTTTAAGAGATGTAGGAAAATAGTTCATTTCAACGATGTAACTCTCTTTTAAGGTAAAAAATATAATTGTAGGGGCCTCAAAATATATCCTGGTCAGCTGACAATGAATTTATTTAATTCCCCTTCGTACTCCTTTTGTGGGATTCCAAACGGTGTTTGATGACATCAACCACAGTAGGCCTTTCTGTGTAACGTCAAGTAACTTCAATTACATACTTTATTGTAATAATAATGTAATACTGAAATAAAGATGAATGTAATTTTTAAATATGTGTTTCTTCACAAAACGAGCACACCACCTGGATTCTAAGCAATGCGTCATTTATAATAAGAATAATTCGCTTTTGAATATAATTCGAAATCTATTAAATGAGCACAAGATTTCACATGAAGCAAAGTGCACAGTTTGCTATATACGCACCATATCATCATGTGATAAAATGTTAGTATTTTCTTAAGATTCGATATCTATTTAGAGGGTGCTTCAGCGCTAACATAAAGGGCAAGTAGGCACTAACATTACAAAATAAAATTTTCTTTAGCTGGTATATACAGTATATTATTCAATTGAAATTAGAGTAAGAAATTTGTTTTTGTAAATAAACTAGTTACTAGGACTTCTAGACAGTGAATTTAAGACTGCTATATCCCAGTTATTTTTATGACCTGATATTTAATAGAATTACTAATGCTATGTTGCTATGGAAATAGCAGCAATTCTTTAATTGTTTTTATATTACCTCAATTGACCTGAGATTATCCTGTTTTGTTGGTATGGCAACAAGGAATACAGTCTATGGCAACAAGGAATACAGTCTCTGATATCAATGTTTGGTTTCTAAATAATATTTAAAATCTATGTCTAATTTTTCAAACTATTTAAATTGTGCAGTAAAAGAATTCATTTTAAAACACTCAGATTTGAATGTTGAAATACAACTTTGATACTTATTAACGTATGATTTTTATTACACTGTTATTTATGAACTACCGGTATTGTATTTATAATGCATAATTGAGTTGTGGACAATCTATCACTAGAACCCACTAACAAGAACAACATAAAACCTGTCTATACCTGGCACTAAAAGCTATTAAAGTTGTAGGTGTAATGCCAGTGCTAAGCCCAACCGTCATACTTAAATGCTTCATATGTTTTAAAAACAGCCAATTAAAAAAAAATGATTAATAATTCTTGCTTTAGATGAAGTTGTATGTCAATTATACATGTTTTATTACATGATTTCACATTTTTATATATATATTGAAGATTTTTTAATGCAATTTTAAATGTTTTGATAGTAATACAACAGTGTTTGTAATGACATCATAAAAAAAAATTGCATTTATCAGGTTTGTAATGCTGTGTTGTTCTGCTGTTTGCTTGTGTTCAGTTAATTGAAAGCTAATATCTATAAAGTAAAATTAATTAAAATATATATAAATAAATATAAAAATAAATATAAATATAGTTTATTTCTTAATATAAAGAATATAACTCTTTAAATGATTGTATTCCCCATTTTAACAATCTACATTCATAAGTTATCATCAATACACATGACATTTAAACATCATCTAATTTGCATAAGAAGTCATTGGCACATGCGTGCGCTAACCTAACCACCTGCATGTCAATTGACGAATACTTAGCTTGGACAATTATCACTTCTAGTGTTCAGTTGAAGGCGGTTTTAGCAACATCCTGCAGACTAGGAAATTGCCACCAACGAGGATGCCTTGACAGCTAAAATGATTACCAATTACTTCTGCAGACCATAATTATTGACTATACATGAATATTCATGAAGGATATGATGTAAAGTAACAAATTCCTCTTTCACCCTGTGAAACTCTTTTTAAGTCTGCTTATCCAGTGAAGTCAAATCACTTGAAAGTGTCACTTTCTGCTTGCCTACTGTACAGTCTTATTTACTCGTCTCATTTTGTAGTAGCATTTTTTTGTGAACATGTCACAAATTATGGGATTGCTCCCAAATAGGAGAGGATGTTATGTTATCAATGAGAGGTATGTAATGGTAATATATCATGCATGTTTATTTACTTATTTTAATTTAGTTCTTCTCTTAGAACCTCATGTAACTCATCAATTACTGAATGTAAATCACCAGTGCTTCAATTCACCTGTAAACAAAATCTTAATAAGAAGCTTACTGATAGGGAGTGCAGATTTTTTTTTCTTAAGAAAATCCTTGGATTTTTATGGATTTAACCTAGAATTTATGGTTAAAATGCAGGTACCCCCACTAAACTACAGTTTCCAATTTCAGATATTTATTTTTTAAATAATTCAAATTAAGATTTTTATTTATCACAGGTCATGTGCTACAGAATTGAATTATTACATGGTTTTACTTCTAAATTTGAGTTTGTAGGAAATTATGTTTTACATGGTTTAGCTTTCATATTCTGTTCTTCTTTCCATGTTGTGTTGGGGCAACAGCACAACTAATTTTGTCAAGTACAATTAATCAATTTAAATTTCAAATCATTAGTACTTTGTCTAGAATCGTTAAGAACCGTAGTGTCATATGTAAAAAGCTGTTTAACATTACCTTCCAAATTATAATAAAGAATGAATTGAATTAAGATTAATGATATTCTTTATTTTTTATAATGTGCATATCAATCTTGTGAGGAGGTACTTGTGTTCTGCAAATGCTTGTGTTTTCCCACAGACTCATCACGGACATTTATGCTAAATTGTTAAATTAAAAACATTTTGAAAATTTGTTTTTAAGTATAAAAATTCTATTTCCAGGCATCAAGAGATGATATGTTCTTAAGAATAGTCTTTTGACTAGAGCTGATTTTATGGCCACTAGTCTAAGATAAGTGAGAGTGCTAATTTCAATATATGCCTTAAAATTTTAAAATTTAGTGGCAAAATAGGGGCCATGTACCCAAGATGGTCTCAGAGCTATGGATAGTTTCTGGGATAGAAATAATATTTGAGTTCGATAATCTCTTGTGTTTGGCTAATATAAACATACAGAAACAAATACATGTTCTTGCAAAATGTAGTCAATGTGAAAAGGAAAACCTTATCGGATATCATTAAATGGGCGAAATGTCTGCACGAATGAAACACAGGAAAGAAGTGATACCAATATAACTTTCTTATGACATTTCACACAATTTATCATCCATGTAAGAATAGCTTATTGCATAAACAAGTTCTTTACCACTAAAACAGGAAAAGAAACCACCATACAGGATGACATACTGTAGTGAAGGTGTACACACAATGCTGATGAATTTATAAGGATTGCTGGGCTATTACTATGTTTCAAATAAGAAATCATTGAATGTCTTTAAAACCAATGTAGGATGAGTAATAATACCTAAAGTTACTAAGTTTTCTGTGTCCCACCCACTATCTACCAACCAGTCGGATAGATATATACTTCACATACCGAGTCATAAAACAGGTAATTTTTGACAATGATCATATTGTTCATTGTTGGAACCCACTGGACACATATCTATTTTTTGAACATGGGGAACAGGCATTCATATCCACCTCGGTGTCACCATGACTGGGGTCAAGGCAAGAGGTATGTGGATTATTAGATTCTAGAAACCACTGCTTCTGTTAGTGCCGGTAGTTCAATGTGGTTTGAAAGGTCAAGCCTTTATTTGAAGAGTTGTTCACAAGTTAAGCAGCATACTTCTTTTTGATTCCAAATATAGATTAAATATTATGATCACATGGTTTTTAAAATTCTCTCTCCATGGGTGTTCTTTACAAAAGACCCTACAATATGCTATTATTAAGTTAAATTTTTAGAAATCAAACTCAGTTTAATATGGAGTCATTTAAATTTGAAATGTTTGTTACACTTTCTATTTACATATGGAATTTCCTTTAAAAACAACATCTTAACTATTGTAGGCAGAGTGTAAGAAATAGCATAAGTAAAAGTAACAATTAATATAATAATTATTAAATCTTTAATTGATGATTCATGTACCAGTGGTTAAAATGAAAACCATAAGAATTATTTGTATAATTCATTATTTTACTTCTTAAATTTATAAATGAGGCTACGTAATCTTGAAAAGTATTACAAAATATTAATTAATCTGAGTAATAATTGCTGGCATTAATCGGTCTCAACAAGCTATATATTTTTGCCCTGAAAAGACAGATAACTTGCGTCACTAAGAACACAAAAGATTCAAACCATAAAAAGATTTGTATTGACTTGGTTTTCAATTTAAAATGTCGTACAGCCATATGTGACCTTTGAAATATATTCGTCAACTGAACGAAAAGGAAGTGATCACAAAAGAACCTTAAGAAAATAATTTGTAGCAGACTTTATGCAACTAAGATGTTGCTAGGCAATCTTAAATAAACGAAACAGCATGTGTATTTTTCATTTAATGATATTATATATTCTATACACATTTATTGTTTAGAGAGGAATGCATTATCCTCATCTTCTACAAATATTCATTTATTTTTAATTTGTTGTGCAATAACTTCTAATGTTAACGGTGGCTTGAAATGTATTGGCTTTTATTTATTGTCATTATTGTGGGCGTTGAGGAAGAACAGTAACTTAGACTAACACTTCAGTGTAAATAAAATGGTAAAAACATAATTAAACCATCATTGACATGTGCATGACATCGACATTGGTGGTTCTAGTTGCAGCTGCAGTGACGCTTACAACAAGGGCGCCGACTATGACAAACAATACTTTGACTTTACTAATATTTATTTTCAAATGTCAATAACATTCGTAAGTTTGATAATTATAATTACCAGTCAAGTGTTATAATGGAAATATTGTTCTGTAATAATAATAATGAAAATTTATAAAGTTTTGGTAGCCGTTTAAGGGAAAACACTCATTGCACCTTCCTTAAGAAGTCAAAATATTACAGAAAACAATGAAATGAATTATTTTTTATATCTTACCATTAAACATGGATCTTTGTTCATCATTGAACATGAATTTCAATTTGTACAATAAATAATAATGATGATAATAATAATAACAACAACAATAATAATAGTAAAGTATGTTGGTCTTATACAAAGATGCAAATATGCGTTTGACATTACTCTGGTCATCTATGGATGAAGCACATACTCAGCATATACGGTATTAAAACCTAACAGAAGCCCACCTCTACTCCTAGATGTATAAAAACAGCAAAAAACAAATGGGTTTCTATTGATGTTATGTAAATGTAGAATGAAATATAGACTGTTATTAATATTTTCTCTTATATAACTTTTTTTTTTCTTTTAGGTCTAGTGGCTTCAGCAAATTTATCGCAGAATGTCTACAGAAAAAGCCAGAATTACGACCATCAGCAGCTGAGCTACTAAAGGTAAGCATCTGGAAAGGATAGGAAGTACTTTATGGAATAGGGAGTAAGGTAAATGTTTGGCAAGGTGCAGAGAGTGCACTTGGAAATGATACCCTGACTATTATTTTTTTAATGTGTACATACTCTACGTTTAGAACACAAGCCAGACAGGTACAGTACTGCACATCTTGGCATATATTAGAACAACATACAAGATATTTCATACAATAAATAAGTATCGTATGCTTCACTTAAAATTTAGGCTATACCTAATACCAAAGATACTAGAAACACAAGATAGAGTTCTCCACAGAAAAAAAGTGTTCCACCGAAATGCATGGTGGGAGCCGCGTACGGCTGGATCTAAAAAACTTCTACCAAACTTGTGTTACCAAGTCGTCGCGTATTTAATTGTCAATTCTCAATTAAAAAATTGCGCACAATTAGTACAATTGTACCCAGACAGTGACAACGGTGAATACATAACCTCCTTGGCGGACGTAGAAATCTTTGCTATTATCCAAATAAAACACACAATTAAGCCCATGGATCAGTATAGAAAACAATAATATAGCGCAGAATCGTATGGCCAGACGCACTCTAGTGATAAGGTTTTCCTCCATAAGTGGAAAAAGAAGGGCGCCATGTGCGTTTAGATATACTTAGCAACAGAAGGGCGCCCTGTACGTTGGGCCCAAGTATAGGAAACTTGCATTATAAAAAAGAACGGCGCCGCCTACATCGGGCCCAATTTCCGCCTCATTTTTAATATGCGAGTGTATTTCTAATATCTTTGCTAATACAAATACAATACAAAATAAACATAGTAGGCAGAATATATGTAGTTGTCATTAGGATAAATAAATGATAAGTTTATAAGATTACATGCAGGAAAGAGTTACATTTATATTTATATGCATGGTACAGTACTAGAGTCCTAATATAAATATATTTTTTTTAAAATAATATAAGAATATTTACAGCATTTATTTTTCGTCAAAGGATGCTAGGTAAATGTATTGCATAATGATTGAAGTTCAGATATCCTGTCGCAAGTTTGTATTGCTATAATGCAACACCGGCTACTAATATAGCTAGTAATCAGTCAATTGAAAAGATCTCTGTCCTTCATTTTATTTTTTATTGAACTTGTACATGTATTTTTTGTATAAAATGTGTGGTAGTTATTGACCATGCAATTTTGATGTTAAATCAGCCAAAATACTGTACAATTAGCCATTTTTTTGTTTGTATCCAAGTACCAAAGCTACTCATGACATTATTACTCCTGATTATTAGATACAATATCCATGTTGTACATAATGTGTTACCACCTCTGCAGGATGGCTAATCATAGCTTCACTCCCTAAACCTCATAACAAGGCTAGTTTATGTAGTGCCAGCGCCTATTGCCGATGAGGGTGTTCAATGTCTCTGACAATGTCCACACCCACCTTAGCTCCAACATGGTTGAGGCTGACATAAATAAGCAAATTTTTTAAATAGGCACTCCTAGATGCCCAGGAATGGCACTTTCTGACTGAAAATGCTCTTTCAATCAAAACAATTTTCCTTGATGAAATGAATGGCTTCTTTCCCGATTGAAGTACAGGATTGTCTAATTGGGTGGGGGAAGGGGGAGGGGTGTATTCTCAATTTCCACGACTCCATTGGTGCTGTTACTAGGTTACTTAGAGCATAGAACCATTTACTGTTCAATACCTAGAGCATTGTGTATATGCGTGATGGCAATCTGTATACGCTATACATACTATACAATAAAAAATAAATGAAGAAAACTGTTCCTGTTGAATTTCTAACTGTGCTCAATTAGATAATAGGGATGGTAGTCGTAATGGTGGTTTCAGCATTCATTCAGTCAGGTCATGTATGATTGTATAATAATGCATTGCCCTCATGTAAATTTTTCAATAGCTCTAATAATGTAATTATTAACATGGAGGAATAAAAGATATAAAATACAGCAGTAAGAAACTTTTTGTGCAAAGTCTGTCTTTTGTTAATACTACTATATTTTAAAATTTTTAACAAAAGTGCAAATCCTGGTTAGAACCGTATGGTACCTCTGTTGTACCTACTGTACACTTGTGGTCCACTTGATTGATTTTAGATTGAACAGCATTTCCTGGTTAGAATTTTATAATATTAGTATAAACAGACTAAGAAATAGAGTTGCATAAAAATATAGATATACTTGGGTAAATCTTCAGCCCATACATTGTCCCTGGTTCTTTTTAGGAAAATCATTAGCAAGTTAGAATAGGTAAAGGTTTTGAATGTTACTTACTATAATTATAATGGACAAGGATACCAATATAAAATGTTGAATTTTTGAATTTTTCGCACCTTTTCAATTTATTACAAGGTAAATTTCGGATAAGTCAGCAGTACATGTGTTTTTCCTTTCCAAATTTGGGTATTACTATGGAGAATTTACATTGTTAAAGTATAGGAAAGGATAATGTTGTGGTTCAGAAAACATTCGCCCACCATTACCGTAAGAAATAACTGGCAAGAAAAAGGCAGTACGATTGTTCAAAATGTGCTTTGTATGCTTTTGAATTTGTGATCCTTTGTAAGCCTAAGCTAGCATAGAAATCGTAGCATGTCAAAATCACATTTTGCAAATCAAAAACTCTTGAGCATACCTAAGAGGCTGTAGACATGCAGGGCCTATGGGCAAACATTTCTCGAAAAATCTCAACGTTTAGGGCTTGTATCTCTTGGAGCAAACCATTATGTCAAAACTCTCAATTTTAATTTCCAATCAATTAGGTATAGTTACTGGCTTTCCAACCAACATTATTCAACATCAAATATGTGCTTTGCAGCACAATCACTCCCAAGAATGCACACGTTTTCCTATTACCGAGCGTCACTCGCACTTCATGTTTAAAATTGATACCCACTATACGTCACGTGACCAGCTTAGCGGAATATGTCTATTCTACTGAATTCTTGTGAATAATAAACAACAGTAATTGATCAATGGAGCCTGGTGCAGTTTTTTAGGTTGATTCATTGTAGTCTTTAGACAGCCTTTCAGGAAAGTGCGATGCACTTAAGTTGTCAATTATATTTCCCCATGAAGTCAATTTTATGCCTGAATCTAAGCTTAGACAGGGTTCGCTATAATTCACTAATATATTTTACCCAGTTTGTACTATATTACCTGGAAATAATTTTTTTTTACATTATTTTTAGCAAATATTGATTGATAATCCATAATGTGAAGGCTTTAAGGGCCTGTTTCTACTGACAAAATACAAAAGTACGGTATTCAGTGAAACCGGTTTTCATAATTGTTTATAAACAAAGACCGCATTGCAGTTTAATTTTAACACCAACAGAAACCGGTTTCTCCTAAGGAGATCGTTGTGCAATGACGTCATTTTTATCCACAGCGAGTTCGTTAGGCGAATTAGCTAGCCGGCTAGCCTCCCCCTCATCTTTTCCTCCCCCCACAGATTAATCACTAGTCTTGTGATGGCTTCGGTCCAAATTACGCCCGACATTACTGGTGCGTTTGCTAAATCAAAAAATTCAAATACACACTTCGTGCCAAGATGAGAGTTGTTTATGTTCTGAGTACCATTTGACAGCTTGCTAGGTCAGGTCAACTTGTGGTCAAACTGAGACCGCTATTAAGTTGCAGCTAAAAATTGCTCGGTGAATACGGGTTTGAGTACGGTATTCGGCAATCGAGACCAGATTCAATTGGGGATTTCAAAACCGGTATTTGAATTTGGGTTTTATTTTATGGGACCCATTTCCACTGACAAGAAAATACGGATCTTTGAGAATACTGGTCTTGAAACCGGAATTCTATTCTCAGCAAAAACAGGCCCTAAGGATTTTGTAAGAGCAAAGCATAATCTACAAATCATAATTGCTATTTGTATAGATCCTCAAGTTTAAGCCATTTAAGTAAATTTCATGGAATGGAATTTATTGAGATATACTATATGGCCACCATTGACTTCAGAGGTAATACACCGATTTTGGACTTTCATTTATTATTGTATGTTTAAAACATTATTGTTGGAAGTAGACCTAACCAGCATTTTAATAGTGATTCAACATGAGAACATTTCTAATAAAATAGTCTTTAGAAACAGATGAATTTAATAAATGTTATGATAAACCAATATCAAGAAAGATTCATTAAAATTTAGCATCAAAATGCTAGCTAGATCTAGAAGTGCACAGCCTTGTCTTTGTGAGCACTAGACTAGATCTTAGCAAGACCTGTAGACTCGCTATTACTCGGGGTAAACTCATTCACAAAGTCAGCACGATTTTTGTGTTTGGGATAAAGTTAGGTGGTGGGTTATGAGCTTATACAGAGTGAAATACACTATAAAATATTAGAATACAATAGTAATTACTGTATGGAAGGTGAAAATGACAATTTGACACCTACAAAATGGCTGTTATGGTTGCGGAAAGTGCCGCTGTGCAAGGTTCATAACCTTTCACTGCAAACCTTTTATTTCAAATGGACAGCAAACCAAATGCTGGTATAAAATTTTAAAATGTGTAAGTGTGTACACTTTGAGTCTTCATAGTAGTATAATAGTGTGTTTCGGTTATTTGGAAATTGAATGTATTATAGTACATTAGCACGCTAGCTATTTCATTTGTATTAACTCTGTAGCTTCAACCCCTCTACTAATCTAAGTGCACTTGACCTTAACCAAGTCCTTAAGAAGCTATGACCTTAAAGGAAGTGGATTAGAGAGGCTATACTGAGCATGAGATGTAGCTAATATTGCATGCTAACAGTTTTTCATAGTATCCCCTATTAGGTACCAGCACTTAACAGATCATGTGTCATTCAAAATCAGGTCAGTGACCACTCATGATCAGTTGCCATAGCAATATCAGTTGATATTAATAAGTGAAACTAATTTAATTAATTAAGGAATTGTTGAAGGGATTTTTGCCAATCACTAAAGAGGGTGATTGAAACGCGAGTCCATTTTACTGGGGTCACTTCCATTTAATTTTTTTGGCAGAATGAAAATTCTTTTTAGTATTAATATTTGTATTCTACTTTATGTACTACTGAAATTTTCTGTAGTATTTCTGATAATATTGTCATTTTAATCTGCAAAATACTAGGAGCATATAAAGTGCCTTCTATTATGCATCGTAGTTCCCTTTGAAAACTTCAGCAAATGAGTGATTGTTATACCAGATAATGCTTTAAAGTATAATTTTTTTAGATTTTGGGTGGTTTTGTTTATTTGTCCCTTTTTTGTGATTTTTAAATATAATGTTAAACTATTAAAAATGTCAACGTACTGTGGAATCCCTATTAAGGGGACACTTTCAAGACCAAAAGTGTCCCTTAATAGGGGTGTCTCCAGAATAGGGGTTGGTCGTAGTGTTAAAAGATACACTTTCCCTTCTATGGTGGCCAGAAATGTGTCCCCCTCAATAGGGGTGTCCCCTTAATAGTGGTGTCCCAAAGGAGGGGTTCTACTGTATTTAACAAAAAAGCATTGAATTATGGTAGCAATACTATTTCTATATATTAATATATCATTTTTTATGTGATTCTTTATTCTGTTAAATAAATATATAATGCAATATAACTTGGTTAATGTGTTATTTCTAAACTATTTTTTGGTTTGTTATTCTCATTTCTTAGTGAGTCCATGGGTCAACATAATAATATTGCTATTAATAGCATTTTATTGACCAATCAAGAATCATGGAAGGAAACTTGGGTCATTGATTTTCAATGTATTTTTAGTAAAGATAATTTTTTTATGGGAAAGGGATGTTTGCTTTGTTGCATTAATCGCAGTCTCAATCCTAAACTATTTTCACCAGTTATGATTCAGTCTTCAGTCAGCCAAAGTGTAATGTTTTTACACCAAATGGTCATTTTTAATGCTCATTGATACTGTGGAAGAATCTTTCTTAGTTATGGGTAATGCTTTGAATGTAGTATTGAACTTGCATCATGAAACACCTTCTTTGATTGGTTCACAGCATCCATGGATTACTGGTTCTGAATCTACCAAGGCAATCAGAGATCTTGTAAGTGAAGCTAAGGCTGAAGTTACAGAAGAAATAACTGATACCCCAGACGACCAGATACCTGTAAGTAGAACGCAAAATATTTTGTATTTAATGGTATTAATATGTTTAATTGATTAATTTGTCTAGTGGTCTTATTATTCTAAATGGTGTTATGTTATGGTAACATGTATAATGGTGTCAACATGTTTAATAATGTTATTATTTTCAATTCAATTCAACTTCTATTTCGGAAAACATATCATTGCATGAAACACAGTAAAGAACAAATTACATGAAAAGAAAGAATTATGAGTTGCTCATGGAAAAATTTTTTTAAAAAGACAGAAAAAACACTTAGTCAAAACATTTCTTAATTTTACACTTGAAAATACTCAAAAGAATATGTCAAAAAAAATTTAAAAAATTCTGCAAATTGTGCAAATAAGTCCGGTTTTAAGAATATTGGTAACTGCAGAATGGAGTGTGAAATAAATTGACCGAGGCCTGTCTAAATGTTTACTTTTAACAGAAAAAAAAATGTCAGATAATATTTAAATGTAAAGGTTTATACTTTTATAGCAACCACCATGTTTTCTCAGTTGCAGCCCCTGGCTTATTAGAGAATGTAATTACACCTCTTGGAAATGATTTGCTAATGTACATTCCATATATTATGTGCACACTAGTCATTTTATGGATGCTGAAGTCCATTTTCAAGTTGTACTGCCAGGTCAAGCATGTGACCTGGATATGAACATGTACATATTTCATTCTCGCTAGATGATGATATTTAACTGAATACCTTCTTCTCTACTAGGAGGATGAGAAACTTGACCTGGAACCTGAAACGCCAACCACCCCGATCATCGGTACTCCCTCAACGCCATCTGTACATACTCCGGCTTCACCCAAAATGGACGCCCTCAAACTTGCAAATGCAAACTCCGAACTGAAGACGCCCGAGTCTCCTGAAATGAACGTACCCATTACTATTGAGGAGACTAAAGATCTAGATTCTAACGGCACCAAGAAATCTCCCCCAGTCGTGGTAAGTCCCTCCTAATCTCTTATTTTTAAGAAATTCTTGGATGTTTTCTGTGCATTTAAGCTAGAATAAAATTTTATATAGAAATACATTCAACCATTGAACAGTATACAATATAAACAATTTCTTATTGACACAATATGCACATTAATCATTGAAGGCAAGAATGTATAAGCTAAAACCTGCTTTAAAAAAACTTAGCACTAACACTTAATATAGTATATATTTTATATATTAGAGTAGATTTAATAAAATAACGAAATGTATTACATAGTGTTAGTAGAAGCAATATCTGATATAAGAACTATATAAAAGCCATACGGTAGTTCTAACACTTATTATAGTACATTTTTTTATAGTAGATTTAAACAAATAACAAAATGTGTTACAGGGTAGATAGATCATATGTTAAGTTAATTAGAATGTGTTTCTTGCCATCTATTTATGGGTTATTCATGTTCATGGATATGCTGGGATAATATTAATTATGCGTCTACTTCGGCTGACCTCAATACCGTGAGTGAAGGGCACATCGTTCTGGTCTTAGTTAATGCCTTCATTTTTCCTCTACACTTTCATTTTTTTTTTTATCTCCCTTTTATAACATTATTTTCATGAAAGCACTTACAGGTTCTAGTGCTATGCGCTAAACAAGTAGAAATATTTACATATTTAATAATAATAATAAATATTTATTTTGCATTAATTTTGCTTGTACAATTAACATGAGGAGTTTATACAAGAAAGGGTTACATCTATCATATATTGACATATTTTTAATCCAATTCACATCTGACCTCCAAATTACTTTCATTTTTGTTTGCTTTGCATCCTTCTGATCTAATTATATAAAACATGTTAAACTTGATAGTGGGTGTTAACATCATCATCTTGAAAGGCGGGGACCCTCTACGTGAGAACGCTTAAATCTGCTTCTAAAGATAAGCTTTCAATTCTGCCGTTTTGCTTTTAAGTGAACGATCCTTGTGTTTTTGTAAGATTTAATTTTGGGAGAGGTTGTTTTACAAGTGAAACAAAAGTTTATAATATTTCTTGGAAAGGGGGAAACTAAAATTTTGATTAAATAGAAAATTTATAGATAGAATAGGTAGATGATTAAATTTCATTTAAATATTATGTTCATTTTTTAAAATGATTAGTATTATTTCATTTTTTATTTTACTTATTGCCAGAAACAAAATAATGCAAAACATATGAGACCATTAAGTGAGGTAATTAATACGGTAGGCATATCTCAAAAAGTAATGTTATTCAATACTTTATAAACATACATAGTATTCAAACCTCCAAAGCATAGACATTTATGAACAAAATATATAATACTGGCAATACATACTATTGTCATTGTTATTATTTTTAACCATTTATGGTTTTTTTTTAATAGCCATAATTTATTATCTTTCATTTTAGTTTCATTTGGCAAAAAGATATTTTATATCATGCTTTTCATATTAATTGGTTTCACATTAAAAATCTTTAGATATGACCCTAGATTCTGAATCAAAGTTATCATATCGACAACAGATATCCAATCAATCGATTGATAGTCAATTTCCATATATGACAGTAATTGTGCATATATGGCTGTCATGCATATATAGCAGTAATTGTTCCATGTATGGCAGTCATTATGCATATTTGGCAGTCATTATGCATACTTGGAAGTAATTTTTGGCATATATGGCAGTCATTATTCATACATGGCCTATTCGATTCTATTTCACATATTTTGATATAATTTGCTTTAGGGGTCATCAATTTCTGTAATCATTTTAATAAGAGTACACAATACACACAGCTGGTAAGAGGTGTTGAGTTGGGGGTTAAAGTGACATCATTGTTTAATTATGTACAGTAGAAGTGAGGGTCTCAAAAATAGTAGATTTTGTACTCATAAATGATTGAGAACATTGACAACTCTGTTTATATAATCATGCTATATTTATCATTATGCAAGATTATTTATACCTTGTTTTGTGAAACCTCTGCTGGCCTATAACAATGATTTCAAATAACATTTTATTTTTGGCTTGTTAGCATAAACTTTGCTGTGGAAAATGAAAATTTATCATGCCCACTGCCAAGAAATTTTAAATTTTTTCTTTACTATTAAATAAATACTATAAGCATTTATCAATTTGATTAGGGTTTACAATGCAACATTGCATTTTTTATGACATGTAACTGGATCGCAATGGAGGGCCTAATGGTGTCATCCTTCTTTCCTTGCTCTTTCCTTTTTAATTTGTCATTAAAATAAACACTCATATAATTTTGGCAGAACCCTTTTGCGAAATTACAAAACAAATTATTATTTTTATTTTTCCCCCCCTCCTCCTCTAACAATCTGTGGAAAAATATGGTAAACAAGGTATACAACTAATCTTGCCTTAACAAGACTAACATAACATTTGCAAGAATTAGAAAAAATAATTCCTATAATTAATAGCTATTGGCATGCTTTTTCAGTTTCATAGTTTTTATTTTTGCTCATCTTGCCCATATAGCTTCCAAAACCTAAGCGACCGGTCAGCTGTTATAATGACACAGATAATGTAGATGGACCACGCCGATATTCCATGCCGATTAGCCCTACAATTCCAAATTATCCTGATGCGCAAAAATCACCAAACAGTGTTAAAGATTTGGCACTTAGGCTAGAGGGACAGCACCCGGAAAGACCGTTTAACTTCCCCAACGGTAAACTGCACCATTCACTCAGTCCTGCTAGTGACCGTACTAACCCCAAAAACCAAAACGGCATGGATGGACTCGGAACAGTGTCCAGCCGAGGCTCAAATGATGATCGTTTCTCAGATACAGAGAGCGTGGCTACGGTCGATAGCATTGATAGTTTGGATCGACGGGATCGAAAGAAAACTCAGGAGAAAATCGAAAACACAAAGGTACATTTGGAAAAACGGAATGATTTGCACTTTAATCTATTTCATTGGAAAAATTATTTACTCATAGTGCGTTCCTAACATTGCATGTTTTGTAGTGTAATTGAAAGTACTTATATTATTTGCAATCTGTTATAACAACATAAAACAATTGCAATGGTCTAGCTTCAACAATAGCAATTACTGTAGTATGTAACAATTAATATTAGCTAGAGACAATTGTCTGTATTTCTGGAAATTCCAGGTATTGTAACCAACACTTAATCACGCAACTTCTGTATCACATTATACTTTAACAACAGGGGAAGTTCTGTGTCCGGTAAAATCACCCCACATTTGTGTATTACACTTGTTTTCCTAGCACACATCCACAAAATTATCACTTTTGACATTCACGTTTCTTATTGTTGTTCCCAAGACCCATTGTTGTTTCCCACACACACCTCCTACCCTCATTCCCATATCTTATTAAGGGTAATTCTAGATATTACTGATTAAAAACCAGCTTAATAATACATGAGATATTAAATTATTCAATTTGAACACTGGATTTATTACCGTCTTCTAATATCAATATGCAAACAACATAAAACCGAAGATCGGTTTTCAAAATTTATAATCTTCATTGGTAGTATGAGCTTGTCTACTACTGTGTATGCTGTGTTTTATGTACCTTCATTATATAACATTCTTCTTTATCATCTGCATTCATAAACTCTAGTAGTGTTGTGTCTTATTATTCTTATAAAGCATCATTTTCATCAGATTGAAATTATGTGTCTTTCATTTCCAAAATAAAGTCATTTTGCATTTTATGTAAATATTGTATAATATCTGTTTGTTTTGTGAACATGTATGTAACTAAGCTTGTCTTTAAATGTGTTCAATTTAGTTTTATGTTTTTCTTTAAAAATATTATTCAATATTATTTATGTATTGCAAATGAATAGGTAATCAAATACCAAATTTTAAAAAGTGAATGTGTATTTACCATATTTGTGACTGCGATTATTAGCTACCAGATCTACTGTTAAAGGCTATTTACAAATAGCGCAACAGCCCTCCTAGACAGCAACTGACATGCATTGAAATATAGTCCTGATAATTCCACACTGAAAGTTATGGGACAGAGGAACACAATCACTCGGCATTGAATCAGTTTAAATTTCTGGAAACTGTCGCGCGACAAAACATTCTCACCAATTAGTGATGCTGGTCATCTTTAGTAGAGTATATGCAGACAGCAAAACAAACCAAAAGCTTTCTGTGTGTGAGGATGATTGTTAATGCATTTTGTTTTGTAAATGGATTGTGCTGCACTACAGAGTGTTTGTGGGGCTGTCGCTGTAGCGCTTGGTGTAAAAGGCCTTTAACATGTTGTAAATGCACAGTTAGTAGGTGTCACTCTGTTATACCCCTTGCCAACGCTTCGCAAGGCATTGCTGTGAACATTATAGGCTAGGATCTTTGGCTGTGCAACAATGAAGCCATAGAGACCTAGGGTCTGCAGGCACAAATCTTATTTCCTGTTGCATTCATAGTATAATCTCCACATAGTAACATTTTTAAGGCTTGTTTCAACCTTGTTTTTAAAATTCATCACTTATTTTCGGGTAACAAATTGCTGATTTAAATTTTGAAACCCACACTTTAAATCTATAGTTTAAGTCACAGTTAGGTATATGAAACAAGATATAAGAATAGATAATTAATATTGTTAATTGTGATGATATTTATAATTATGATGGTAAAGTAAATTTATTTGACCATCATTCATTCTACCCTTGAGTTTAGTGATTTTTTTTCTTCACCTCCAAAAAGAAGTATACTCACCAATTAGAAGATTGAATGATACTATATAAGCCAAGTATCATTGTTAGACTACAAGAGTGGAATTGTTTTAAGTGAGAGAAATAAAATAGCCAGTTGGAATAGACTCTAAACTAAATTGACTAAATTAGAATAATCCTTTAGTTTTTTTAGTGATTGGTTTCTCTCTTGATTTCTAATCAAATATTCTGTTTCTGAGGAAATGAGTCTTTCCGTAATGGATACCTTTATTTAAATTTAAAGCTTTTTAATTGCATTGACTAATCAACTTTTGTCTAATTGTAGGAAAAACCTAATTATAAAACGCTCAAGAAAACCAGGCGGTTTATCGTGGATGGTCAAGCGGTCACCGTGACGACAACCAAGGTGGTCAAGGAAGGAGAAGCCAACAAAACTAAGAAAGAATACGTAGCCAGGTCAGTAAAAAATAGTTATTTTGTATTCGTAATTGACCAAAAAGCAAGTCACAAAAGACATTAAAAACTCTTCACATAATGAGCCTCATGATTGAAAAATAAAAAAATTTAAAAAAATAAAAATAAAAATAAAAATAAAAATAAAAATTATTTTCTTTCGCATGTGTTGGGTAGATCACATTATTAGTATTTGAATGGCTGTTGTAGATCCAGGGATATGAGAATTTTAAGTTTAGATGTGTGATAAATGGTAATATTTTATGAGAAATAGTCTGTATTTCTCATTTTTTTTATTCTTTTGCGTAAAACTAAAATTCATGCCAATATTTTTCCATGATTTATAATAATTGGAGTAATGCAAATGCATATTTTCTAAAAAAAGTCAGTTTTTAGTGAAATTTTGCCGGGAATGGGGCTTTAACTTAAGAGTAAACTATTAAAAAAATAGGTATTGGAGTAAAAAAAAATACGGAGCATCTCATTTCGTGGCGAGACTTCACACATACTGTCTCGGTTGAAACCTGTTAAGATTATAAGCTTACAGTAGCATTAAGTGTATATCTTTAGCAGATGCTTTAATAGCATAGTTGCTAAATTGGCTGCTTAGACCCTTTCTTATATGCCCATTACCCAGTGTGCCTCTTAACATTTTTTCGGGTGAATTTTCGTCAAAAAAAAAAACATGGCTAATAATCAGTTTAAAAAGATATTTGTAATAAAAAGTCTAGATTGGTGAAAACTTAATTATTCGATCAGTAGTGTTTTAATGGAAGACGATGACTTATTTAATTATGTTAGAGATAGGATGTCTATGTTTTGCTGAAAAAAATTAATATTCAGATTGCATATAAGATATTATTTGTTGTTATAACAAAATTAGAATGACAAAAAAATTCCTCACCAAGTATGGCACAAACTCGCAAGGAATATTTAAAATGTGTATCTTTCATTTTAAACCTGTTAGTGCACTGGCTGGCTTGAAAAATTAGAAATTTAAAAAAAAATCCATTTTGACTTTATCCCACCACCATGACAATTTTTTCTAGATTAGAAATTGCTTCGCTAGATATACATATATTCATTCTTCTGTCATTCTTTATTATAATTACTTCTGTTTTTTTTTTTTTTGTTCTTTGATGCAGGAAGCAAGATCTAAGGGCTCTGAGGCTGATGCAGAAAGATGAGATGAGACAAGCAAATGAACTGGCTTCCAAAATATTGCAACAAAGGGATGAAGTTGATAGGAAGCATGACAGAGAATCTGTGGTAAGTCCATATTTACACCTTAAAGCCCTCATCAAGAAACCTCAGTAATTGGTTGCTGTAAGTAGTACATGTGGTAAAAAAATCATTTAAATTTGACATTTCGTTATGAAGTTACAGGAGTTTTAAACATATAGCTGTTTAAAGAACAATAGGCCTATATAAGAAATTAGCCTTCAATGTTTACGATTTCAGGGTTTTCTCAGGTAGAAACCATCACCAATTCATTATAAAAATTGTTGTTTTAACATTGTAAGTGGGGAAATTAACAAGCATGATATATAGATATATAAAGTTGAGTTTAGTGCAATGAAATAGATTTAAAAAATGTTGACATTTCAGCATGTTTTGCGACACAATTTGCGATAAGTGACTGGTTTGGCTTGTTTTTTTCCACATATTGTCATCTAATTAAGAGGGAGCTACTTGTATATGTTATACAGATGGCCCTCCAATTCGAGACCACAAACTTAAAATTTTGAGTGGTGTTAGTCTCTGATTAGAGGGTTTCTTTTGTGCTGTGTTGGTACTTTGAAAAGTGGTCCAAGTAAGAGGGTGCCATGAATGGGAAAGATTTAGCATCAACATTTACATGTGGTATAACAAAACACAAGGAAGATCTTTATGGCGATCTAATCCCCATGTTGCGTTAATAAATCCAAGAAACATTTCTACAGCACTGTGGATTCTTTCTTAATAAATTAAAGGAAAACATGTTGTTAGGGTTTGTGTATATACTGTCCATGTAGCGCTACAAAAATTTAAAAAAAAGCTACAATGTTTTAGCATAACCAGTATGTTTTGATGGGTTAACTAATTAATTAAGAAAAAAATAAAACAATATTACCATAGAAAAAAAAAATAATTAAGTTATTTTGAATTGCTTACATTCAATGTTTAATTAAGTTGGTATCTGTGAATTGAAAATGACATGTAATATATTCAGTGCTTTCATTGAACTCTCAATATGAGACCCCATAATTAATTTATGTCAAACCATTTTTAGGCAACAAGGAAAAAATGTGATACGGACATTGATCAGTTGAACAAGCAACAGAAGCAGGAGGTGGAAAAACTTGAGCAGTCTCAGAGTGTGGAAGCTAAGCATCACCACAAGAAACTCAGAGTAGATATGGTAAGTTAGAACAATGACAAGTGGTGGAATTTTTTTTTTTTGGGTAGGGGCAGAAGGCCACGGCTCCCGCCCCCCATTTAAAAACCCCAAGAAGAAAGAAGAAATAATTGATCGCACAAAATGCCTTAGAGGTTGTTTTCGGGCATCTAGAAAACAAATACTTTGCGGACCCCCTAGGGTAGTGTTGTCTTGATCGGCTCCTTGTGCAATCTCCCCCCTCCCATTTCGAACATCTCTGGATCCCCCACTGAATGATGCTGATTCCTCTAATATTTACCTCCATTACAGAGATTATATATAATCAGTGATGTAGTGATAGTGGGTGGGGCCACCAAGCCTAGATGTTTTTTTTACCTAGTTGAAAGCTAAGTTTGTGGCCCTCTACCCACCTTTATTAATCCCTTACCCACTCTTATTATGTAGAGTGTACCAATGTTATCACCCACCCACCCTTAGAATGCCTACCACCTGCCCTTATTATTCCTACAGCTACATACCTGTGTATTCACTGCTGTTTGAGTGTTTATTATTAGCAGGATTATGCATTAAAACTAATGAACAGATAGTAATAAAATTTAGTTTAGTTTAGTTTAGTACATATTGGTCTATGGAATACAAGTTTTGAGTGAAAAGTTCATAGGTCAAAGTCTGATAAAGTGGTAACTCATATTGGTGAAGCTGTTTGGAGGGGGTATGCACTGAATTGAGTGACCGCTAATTTGTTTCCATTCTTATACTCAATACACATGAGACTAGATGTTACTCAGGGACTCGTGTTAAAATTAGTGTACTAAACACATTTTATTCTGTTCTTTATATTTAATGCTAAGTTTGTATTAGTTTTTTATGACATTCTCATTGGGTGGTGTAACAAAGAGGCTTGGAGCCCCTGGCTTAGACTTCCTTTGGGCTCTACTACCCTCGGGGCTGGGTATTTGTGGAGAGCACAGGACAAACTACCGATTTAACATTTTTCTGCAAGGCACCGCTCGCCGATTTTTAGCAAAATGAAAAATGCTGAAAAATAACTAGGCACACCTTAAAGGCTGGGGCCACTGGTGTTAGCAAGTGAGAGTTTATAGCTGTTATGCCACTGGACTCTCTACTTGTTGTTAGAGACACTGTTTGTCTTTTGAAAAACTTGATGCATCGTTCAATAATTTTTTTATTAGGAACGAGAAACAAAAGCCTTCAAGGATAACCAGAAACGTGAAATAAGAACAATGAAGACAATTAAAGGAGCTAGTCGAGAGGACACCAGGAGGAAGAAAGAAGAGCAACAGGTGAAGATGCAAGAGATGGAACGAGAATTCCTAGCAAAGCAAGCTAATAAAATGGAACAATCCATGCAGCGAATATCAGAATCTCATAAGATGAACGTTGCATCGCTTGAGAAGAAGTTTCTTAACGAGAAGCATCAATTATTACGAGGTAGAGCAAGACATTTTTATACATTTGTACAGTATACCAAACTTTATTTTTTTTGGAAGATTTTATTGATGGGGAAACATGAGACGTTCCTTCCTTCTAGCAGCTGAAATAGGAATTGGGATAACAAAGGCACTCATGAAGCCTACACCAACAGGGCTATAGTTATTCTTATTTGTATTTGTAGTTAAGATTACCAACTGTTAACTAGAAATTGCAAATTGCAAGTGAAGTGCTGCGAAGTACAACTGCATATAAATGTTCTTCGAACAAAATTATTTATGCGAGTCAAGTGAAAATAATG